CTAAAAATACAAAAATTAGCTGGGCATGCTGGTGCACACCTGTAGTCCCAGCTACTCGGGAAGCTGAGGCAGGAGAACTGCTTGAACCCAGGAGGTGGAGGTTGCAGTAAGCCGAGATTGTGCCATTGCACTCCAGTCTGGGTTACAACAGTGAAACTCCATCTCAAAAAAAAAGAAGTGTTTAATTCTCTTTCATTTTCCCTATTACTACCCACCTAGGCTGCCTTTACCTCTTAAGGGAATTCACTGCCTGCTTATTGTTTTCCGTGTTTGCTGTCAGGCTAGTACCACATTATGTGCCGAAAGATTTCAAAAGCAGAGTTTTAATCATATCACTCCTTTGTTTAAAAACCTTTAGTCCCTATTCCTACTTAAAATAAGCACCAATTCTTCAGCCCAGCATTCCAGGAGCTTCACCAAATGGTTTCAACCTACTTTCCTAGTCTTGTCTCCTGTGATTTCTTTATTCACATCATATATTTTAGAAAACTGAACTAGATACAACATTTGTTGCTGATCATACATTCTTTCTGCTTGGACTGCTTCTTCCATCTCATTTAATTTCGCTAAGAGCATGTCAAATGCAGCTTCTCTCATCAAATTATTTGTTCTGCTCAGACTAGATGAAATACCTCCTTCCAAACCCAGATGACAATAATTTGCAACTTGGGATGCTGATGTGTTCTGGCTTGTGTTACAGTTATCTGGCCATTTGACTTACCTACTTGTCAACTCTTTGAGGACAAGGACTCCCTACTTACCTTGGTATCCATAAGATGTACTTTTTTTTTTTGAGACAAAGTCTCTGTCACCCAGGCTGGAGTGCAGATGCACAGTCTTGGCTCACTGCAACCCCTGCCTCCTGGGTTCAAGTGATTCTCCTGCCTCAGCCTCCCAAGCAGTTGGGATTACAGGCATGTGCCACCACACTCAGCTAATTTTTGTATTTTTAGTAGAGACAGGGTTTCACCATGTTGGCCAGGCTGGTCTTGAACTCCTGATCTCAAGTTATCTGCCCATATCAGCCTTCCAAAGTGCTGACTTTATAGGCATGAGCCACCACACTGGGTCCACAGGGTATACTTTCATGTTGCAGGGCCTCAGCTCAGATTTACTGAGTCAAAGTTGCTGATAAAAGGTTAGCTGTTGCAAGGCTGGGTGCAGTGGCTCAAGCCTGTAATCCTAGCACTTTGGGAGCTGAGGCAGACAGATCGCCTGAGGTCGGGAGTTCAAGACCAACGAGGTTGGTCTGACCAACAAGGAGAAACCCTGTCTCCACTAAAAACACAATATTGCCCGGGCATGGTGGTGCATGCCTATAATCCCACTTGCGAGGCTAAGGCAGGAGAATTGCTTGAATCTGGGAGGTGAAGGTTGCAGTGAGCTGAGATCATGCCATTGCACTCCAGCCTGGGCAATAAGAGCACAGCTCTAAAACTCTGTCTCAAAAAAAAAAAAGTTAGCTGTTCCTAAAGTCAGTATCTGTCAATCTTGCTCAGGGAGAAACTGTATTTTTTTCTTTTGCTATTTTCAAAACTTGAAAGGAATTAGTCTAGAAAATCATCCTGTTTTCAATTCTTAGAGTAATAAAAGAGACATATTTGGCTGTAAATTTCTTAAAAAAAAAAAAAAAAAAGAACATAAGGAAACAACCCTAAAGATGGAACAAATGTAAAATGTAACACAGACAAAGATGGTGTAAAGGTTGAACCGACACTAGAAATCCAAAACCACAGTGCATAGTGCAGAAAGAATTTCACCCAGCAAGGATTTGGAATCCTGCTAAAAAGGAGGTATGAAATTTACATGAACATGGAGGAACTCTGATCTCTTAGACGCCACAGGATACTAAAATCTCTAAGATTTAAACAAAGCAGGGTCAGGCGTAGTGGCTCACACCCGTAATCCCAGTATTTTTGGGGGGTGAGGTGGGCAGATTGCTTGAGCCCAGGAATCTGAGAACAGCCTGGGCAACACAGTGAAACTGTCTGTACAGAAAATACAAAAAAAAAATAAATTAGTTGGGCATGGTGGCATGAGCCTGTAGTCCCAACTACTCAGTAGGCTAAGGTGGAAGGATCACTTCAGCCCAGGAATTTGAGGCTGCAGTGACCTGTGATTGCACCACTGTACTCTAGCCTGGGCAACAGAGTGAAATCTGTTCTCAAAAAAAAAAAAAAAAAAAGAAAGATAAGAAAAAATATATATGTATCAAAGAGAGATATTCAAGATTCAACTTTTCAAAAATAAGCATATTAGTTAAATACAGATGAGATTTTCCTCAAATAACTATATACCATGGTCAGATAATTTTCATTGGAAAGTACACTGAAATTCACTGCAATCTCTCCCTCCCCAGCTCAGCCATTCTCCTGCCTCAGTCTCCCAAGTACCTGGAATTACAGGCATGTGGCACCACAACTGGCTAATTTTTGCATTTTTAGTAGGGATGGGGTTTCACCATGTTGGTCAGGCTGGTCTTGAACTCCTGACCTCAGGTGATCCACCCGCCTTGGCCTCTGAAGTGTTGGGATTACAGGTGTGAGACATGGCACTGGGCCTCATTTTTCATTATAGAGTAATAAAATTTCATTTAGAATATTTTAGAATATATTACTACACTTCCAACACTATTTCTGTTAATATTTTCATCTCCTCCAATTGATTCTGCTTATTTCCCCATCCCCTCCAATTCGGTTGACTATAATCCAGTTTATTCAATAAAGGATGTGGAGTAGATCTATAATCATGCGTTTATAGGTAGATAGGTAGATCATTTCTATATCTTTGCTATCAATGAAAATGCAACAGTTTTATGCACATAACCTATACTTTGGGTTGTTTTATTGACTGATTTCAGGAAATAAGGTATTTTATCAGAGAGGAAAATAACGTCAACAAATTGTTTTCTAGCCAGGCATAATGGCTAATGCCTATAATCCCAGCACTTTGGGAGGCTGAGGCAGGTGATCACCTGAGGTCAGGAGTTCAAAACCAGCCTGGCCAATGTGGCAAAACCCCATCTCCACTAAAAATACGACAATTAGCCAGGGATAGTGGTGCATGCCTATAATCCCAGCTACTCGGGAGGCTGAGGCAGGAGAATCACTTGAATCTGGGAGGCAGAGGTTGCAGTGAGCCAAGATGGTGCCATTGCACTCCAGCCTGGGTGAAAGAGTGAGACACTATCTCCAAAACAAAATAAAATTACTTTCTAGGGAATTTGTATAGTTTGCAAAATCAACAGCAGTATGTCAGTTTAACTGTGCTCTCACCTTCACTAGCTATTAGCTTTTAAAAACGGAGGAGTGGGAGAGAACTGCAGAAGTCAACAGTCTTTGGCTGTCAAACTAGAAGTCAGTCAAATTATAAGTCTTAGACAACTACTTTAATTAAAGGATGTGACTGTGGACTCAATTAGTGCCCATAGTTTGCTAAACCCTTTCTTTTTTGCCCACCTATTGTCTCCTTTATATTTACTCTCTAGTACATGGCTTTCCTTCCTTTATATACTTTTTTCTTACCCACCAAGCCACAGTTTGCCCAAAGCATATACTTAATGGTGAGAAACGTATTTATGGGTGTACTCCATTGTACATATGTGTGTGTTTGTACATACTATTCTTAACCTATATACTTGCACATGTGCATCTATGAAATAAATGTTTTTGTATTTTCTTGCAAAAATGTTAATACAAAAAAGTGAGGTCAGAAGGAAAGGAAATAAACTAATTTGCTGTGTGATAATTATTTTTAAAATACATAATCTGTTTATTATGTATTACCTGCTGTGGCTTTCTTATTTACCTGCTTATTTTCCTTTTTTGAGACAGGGTCTCACTCTGTTTTTCTCTTGGCAACATATTTAATATAAAGATAAAAATCCTATGTCATATTTACTTCCCAAATATATAAGCCCTTTTTAAAAATAGCAAATTTGTTGATTTTTATTTTTTTTTGGTGTGTGTTTGCCTCATCTGTCTTTGAGCTGAGAGATGTCCCCCATTTAGACCACTAGTCTTCCAAACAATGAACACTGCAGGACAGACGATGTGACCTTCTCTAGAGTGTCCTAAAGCAAAGCTGAGTCTTCACTGCAGGGCCATCTCAAATCTTGACCAGCTTTATCATTTGCCCAGGCAGAGGAACAAGGGGTGGTGTGAAAGTTCCATGTCATGCCCAAGTCAGCTAGAAGTTCAAATTACCTACCCTTCATAACCAGCAAAGAACAACCAGACCTGGCAAGAGCTTCAGACTACAGATGAGACCCAAAGTGGGCTACCTAATACATCCTGTATATCTAACAGGTCTTTTTTTTTTTTTAACTGCTCCTTACCAAGCAGGGCTACTCCATAGGCACTGTGCCCAGGGTAGCCTCCAACAGGTCTTTTGGTCCTATGGTAGATGCCTCAGATCCTAACTTACAGCTAGGTTCCCCTTCAGCCAACAGACTCTGACAGGCCCACACTCGCTTTTTTTTTTTCCTTTTTTGAGACAGGGTCTCACTCTGTCACCCAGGCTGGAGTGCAAAGGTGCAAGCAATCTCAGCTCACTGCAGCCTTGACTTCCTGGGCTCAGGTGAGTCTCCCACCTCAGCCTCCAAAGTAGCTGGGACTATCAGCACATGCCACCATGCCCAACTAACTTTCTGTATTTTATGTAGAGACAGGGTTTCACCATGTTGCCCAGGTTGGTCTTGAACTACTGGCTCAAGTGATCTAACTGCCTTGGCCTCCCAAAGTGCTGGGATTCCAGGCATGAGTCCCCACAATTGGCCAGACTCTTTAGAGTGGATGCTTCATATAAGGCACCTGACCACATCTCAGTGCAACTAACTATACATGCCCTGAGGGTTGCTTGAAAGTCATACCACACCTGTAAGAAATGGGAAGCATTTGATCTTTATTTTCAGTATTAAAGCAGAGAAGTTGAAGAATTTGGGTTTTAATATTAGCCATGAAGAAGGGGAGTGTCTGAAAGAATGAAGGATCAACACATACCTGATTTCGAAGAGGCTGCTGTTGTGATGGCCGATCCCGGTGTGTGTGGCTTTCTCGAGTTATTGCAGATGCACCAGAATCTACATGAACTGACCCTACTGGAGTAGGCTGGAAAAATGAAACAAAAAGTCAAATGGGGGAAACAGGTCCACCCTGATGCATATGCAAAGGACAGAATCATTATAATTCTAATAGAGTAGTAATTATTTTCAGCTACCAAGAGCACTTTCAAGTTGTCTTGTCTTCTCAGCTTGCTCATCTGCAAAAGGGAGGAAGCCTGGTCCTCCCTTTATATTAAATAGTTTGTTGGAGAGTAGCTTACCTTCAAAAATAAAGAACTATCCTCCAGTGATATCTGTATGGCCCTGTGAACCTCTGACCAGAATAACAAGTCCAAAAGCTTCCTGTGATGCTGGGCTCCATTCCTACAGAGGCCAAGTACAATCATGGGGCCGGGTGTGGTGGCTTACACCTGGGAGGCCAAGGCAGGCGGGTCAGGAGTTCAAGATCAGCCTGGCCAACATGGTGAAACCCCATCTGTACTAAAAATGCAAAACTTAGATGGGCATAGTGGTGCATGCCTGTAATCCCAGCTACTTGGGAGGCTGAGGCAGAAGAATCACTTGAACCTGGGAGGTGGAGGTTGCAGTGAATCAAGACTGGCATCACTGCACTCCAGCCTGGGCAATAGAGTGAGACTCTGTCTCAAAATAAAAAATAAAAAAACAAACAAAAAACACTTCCGAATCATTCAAATGAAACTTCTCCTAACCTGGCTCAAATTCTGTTATCACAGGGCATACAAGTTATTATCTTCCTATATGACTAGGAAAAATACGTAACTCCTTTCTACTTCTGAACTAGTAAGAACAACCTATGGCAACACCCTGAAAATGCTGGTAAATACACAGTCTACAATCAAAGGAAGACTTTTACCAAAGATTAAAGCAGAAAGACCGACAAAGGTGTGAGGCAGGGCTGGTTGGAGAAAGGAGGCAATGAGGTAAAAACAAGATACTTACAATAGGTCTCCCAACCCAATCATAGGCGTGGTCAAAGGTGTAGCCTTTCCTTTCAAAGAGGTCTGTGAAGAGGGTCCGTAAATACTCATAATCAGGTTTTTCAAAGAAGTCTAATCGCCTGACATATCGAAGGTAGGTTGCCATCTCCTCTGTTCGAAAACAGATCAAAGGCCATGCTCATTAGCTGCATGCTTTCCATAGCAATTGTGGGGAGGCACTAGGCCACAAAAGGGTTATTTATACAGATGACCTGACACTGTTTTTTTTATGGAGCAAATAAAAGTGATAAAGTCTACTTTGGTCTGTATCACGAAAGGAAATGTTTACTAGCTAAACAGCACCCTTATTTCAAGATACCCAGCCATGGACTCTACTTGCTTTCAAAGCTCAATCACACTGACTGGAATGTCTTTTTAGTATCCCACCTGGAAAGTTCTCACAGAGAGCTTCAATGGGAGTATTCCTTTTGGTGTCACCAATTTTTTGATATCTCTCTTTTAATGTTTCAGCCTGTAGAGAGTAAAGAGAGAAAGTTACTTGAAAAGAGGTCCTAAGCATTGGAGATTCAGTATGGTTTTAGAGACAATGGTTGTTGCACTCAAATTTGCAGTATTTGTTGGTCTTGATTTTTTTTCTAATACTAACAAATAAGAAATATAGTAGAAATTATATATTTAGATATATACAAACATCTGCTGTGTTCTGGAAAATTTTACTTGTGAAACTATTTAGTAGTCTCAGATAAACACCATCAAATATAATGGTTGAGTGGCTAGGATAAAAAAATAATATTATGTGGCGATATTTTCAAAATTCAATAATCTCCCATGGTCACCATAATTCAATGTGATTGAGCATTCTCTCTAAGATCAGCTCTCAAAGTATTGCTAATCCAGGTTGGGGAAATTCTACTACATATATATTGAAGACTTCAAACAGAAAAAAAACAGTAACTGAAAAAAATGTCCCTTGACAACGTGCTTCCAGAGGGAAAAAAGGTATCTATGGTACAGACAGCCATGACTGTTTGGTGTATGTCAGTTAAAAGAAGCCCAAGTCTGGTATGCTCAGAGTGATAGCCAGAGGACTTCTGAACCCTAGACCAATGATGGGCTCCTAAGGAATTCTTGTCAGGCTTTACCTAGCTTGCTGCACTCAGACTTAGGCAATAGTGTTCTGAAGTAATTAGGGGAAATTTTACAGCTACAACGACCACAAAAATGATTTATGGACAATGAGAGAGTTTCAAGCAATTAATAATACACTAAAGCATTGTTTGGCTGTATGATGACCAAGTTTGATGTGAAATTCTATGTGAAAGCTATAAATATCAATGAGAGGCCCGGGCACGGTGGCTCACGCCTGTAATCCCAGCACTTTGGGAGGCTGAGGCGGGTGGATCACGAAGTCAAGAGATAGAGACCATCCTGGTCAACATGGTGAAACCCCGTCTCTACTAAAAATACAAAAAATTAGCTGGGCATGGTGGCGCGTGCCTGTAATCCCAGCTACTCAGGAGGCTGAGGCAGGAGAATTGCCTGAACCCAGGAGGCGGAGGTTGCGGTGAGCAGAGATCGTGCCATCGCACTCCAGCCTGGGTAACAAGAGCGAAACTCCGTCTCAAAAAAACAAAAAAAAACAAACTATCAATGAGAAGATGTATATGATGTGGAGATGACAGGAGAGGAATTTAAGAGTGAAGAAATAAAATCTAAAAGGGAATGGGTAAAGTCTTACTTTTTAGGACAGTCTTCTAAAAGCCCAGCAAAACGAACCATGCTGCCTTTCTGGAAGAGAGGGTATAGGAGTACCCCAAACTACTAAGTTTCTTTCCATATTAACATGTCGAAATAAATTACAACCAAAAAATATGTCTTGGGCCAGGCATGAGGGTTCACACCAGTAATCCCAGCACTTTGGGAGGCCGAGATGGATGGATCACTTGAGGTCAGGAGTTTGAGACCAGTCTGACCAACACAGTGAAACCTGTCTCTACTAAAAATACAAAAAATTAGCTGGGCTTGGTGGCATGCACCTGTAATCCCAGCTATTAGGTGAGCCAAGGTCGCGCCATTGCACTCCAGTCTGGGAGACAGAGCAAAACCCTGTCTCAAAAAAAAAAAAAAAAAAAAAAGTCTCATAAGACAGTAATGGGACTTACAATGGGTTTGAAACTCACCGTTTCCTGGACAAATAGCCAAAGGCACAGAGTGATGATAATGCTCATAATGATAATAGGAAACTGATATGTAGCCACTGTACTGACACCTACCTATGGAAGGCTATTTAAACTCTACACATTTTGCAATGAATAGCTACTGTCTGAATAGGCATTTATTCAATATACTTGAACAGCAATGTTAATCCTGGATTTTCATTTTAGTTCAGGTGGGTCCTCAGCCCACATAAGATAAACAAATACTTTCTAAGTTCTCCTAAGGAGCACACCCTGCTGGCCTTTCTGGTAAAATGTGTAGCAGCTGTTGTCATCAATTTGTTCCAGAAATTCCCTGACATACTGGGAACACTCCTCGTGCTACATAATGGTAGTGGAGGAGGAATACCAACACAGAGAGAAAAGCAGCACTGTCAAGGCTGAGAGGAAATGAGGAAAAAGAACATGGAAAATCCAAAAAAAAAGGAAGGGAAGACAAATGTGCACAAAACAGCTTCCAAAGCCCAGGAGAGCTTTTATAACATAGACTAATGTTAACTAGCCCATTTTCTTTTCTCCATAGTCAATTATCGTGTGTGTGTGTGTGTGTGTGTGTGTAACTGTTTATTTTTAAATAGAGCTGGGGTCTATGTTGCTGATCTCAAACTCCTGGACTCAAGCAATCCTCCCACCTCAGCCTCCCAAATTACTGGGATTACAGGCACGTGCCACCACTGTTGTCTGGCCAGCCTCCTATGCATTTCTTAAAAAGATGAAGCCAGAGGCCCCTTCATTAACAACTGAGCATTGAAACAAAGCCCTCCACTGAATACTTTCAAGGATACCTTGAGTCCTTGCCAAGGGAGGCTGCCTCGAAGGAAATACATGAACATATGGCCTAGGGCTTCCAAATCATCTCTCCGGCTTTGCTCTAAAAGGGAAGACAGATCACACGTTACGTTTGCAGTTATTAAAGCAGAAAGAGGTTCAAAACCAAGTGATCCCTTCAGAAATCCTTCGGCTCTGGAAAGGCTCTGCTTATTAATTATTTGAATATTTAAGCCAAGGATAGTATTTTAGATCAAAACCCAAAACCAGTGTGTACTTCCTTTGTCTAAATCTGTTGATGGTAAGTAAATATCAAGAGAAAAGAGCAAATCCTGAATTACAAACAAGCACAAATCACTAAACAGTGAATAACCACCCCTCACTCAATGCTGTCATTTTCCTGAAAGTGAGAAGATTTTAATGAAATGCTATTTCCAGTATATGGGCTACAATTACCCTTTAGTTACCACCAGGGAGTGAGAAGCAGATTAAGCAACCCAAACTGTTAAAACAGTCCATTCTGGCTAGGCCTGCAGAGAGACAAGCTGCAAAATGGCTAGCATATGTGTCTAATGCTTTTTATTCAACATAAAAATGAACACTTACAAATTCAGTTTCCTGTCAATGAACATTAGTACATAGTCTCTTGGTTTCTATTCAATTTGTACTATATCCCATAACTTCAAGAACATTTTCAAATTTATTACTAGGGTCCCCTCAAAATTAGATCGGTAAAGATGGACACATCTGTAGTCTCAGCTACTTAAGAGGCTGAGGTGAGGCCAAGTGCGGTGGCTCATGCCTGTAATCCCAGACTCTGGGAGGCTGAGGCAGGCGGATCACCTGAGGTCGGGAGTTTGAGACCAGTCTGACCAACATGGAGAAACCCCGTCTGTACTAAAAATACAGAATTAGCTGGGCATGGTGGTGCATGCCTCTAATCCCAGCTACTCAAGAGGCTGAGGCAGGAGAATAGCTTGAACCTGGGAGGCAGAGGTTGGGGTGAGCTAAGATTGTGCCATTGCACTCCAGCCTGGGCAACAAGAGTGAAACTCTGTCTCAAAAAAAAAAAAAAAAAATTGAGGTAAGAGGATCACTTCAGCCTAGGAGTTTGAGATGAGTCTGGGCAACATAATGAGACCTCATCTCAAAACAAAATAAAACAAAAAATCAAAGTCCCTGTATTCTGGAAGTATATCTGAAACAAGTTGTTGGGTTTTTCTCCTCTTTTAATTGGGAAGATGAAGATGACGAACTGCAAAATAGTTAATAAAAAACTGCAACTTCATCTCAGCAAACAGCCTACACATTCTTTGATTGTTAGACAGAATCTAAGTAGTACACGCCTTCATTTCTTTCTTTTTTAGAGAGAGTCTTGCTCTATTGCCTCGGCTGCAATGCAGTGGTGGGATCATGACTCACCGCAGTCTCGAATTCCTGAGCCCAAGGGACCCTCTGCCTCAGCTGAGTAGCTAAGAATATAAGTGTATGAAACCAAATCTGGCTAATTTATTTATTTTTATTTTTTGTGAAGATTCAGTCTTGCTATGTAGTTCAGGCTGGTCTCAAACTCCTGGACTCAAGCAATCCTAATGTTTCAGCCTCCCAAACTGTTGGGATTATAAACGTGAGCCACTGCACTGAGCCTATGTATTCATTTTGAATCTGCCAATTATGGTTCATTCTCAGACTTTTTTTTTTGAGACAAGGTCTTGCATCGTTGCCCAGGCTATAGTGCAGTGCATGATCTTGGCCACTGCTGCCTCGCCCTCCTGGGCTCAAGTGATCCTCCCACCTCAGCTTCCTGAGTAGCTGGGACTATAGGCATGCACCACCACACCTGGCTACTTTTTGTATTTTTTACGGAGATGGGATTTTGCCATGTTGCTTAGGTTGGTCTTGAACTCCTGGGCCAATCAACCAGTTTTGGCTTCCCAAAAAGAGCTGGGACTACAGGTATGAGCAACCAAACCTGACCCATACCAGACAGTTTATGTGTTTATTTTTCAGAATCAAATTTAGGGCTTTGTCAGAATAAATTACAGAAGCAAGACTAACAGGCTTCCTTCAACTTGATTGTGCTTTCTTTGTACAGAAAGTAAAACCCAAGAGAGCCAGAGAAAGCTGCTCAGCTAACTCAAAATACAGAAGTGCAACATGTTTAACTCCTGCCTTATAGGGACTCCCGAGTAGCTGGGATTACAGGCACGCGCCACCATGCCCAGCTAATTTTTGTATTTTTAGTAGGGACAGGGTTTCACCTTGTTGACCAGGATGGTCTCGATCTCTTGACCTCATGATCCACCCGCCTCAGCCTTCCAAAGTGCTGAGATTACAGGCATGAGCCACCGTGCCCAGCCAGAAAAGGCAACTTTCTAAATAGTGATTTGAAGGAGTTTTTAAAAAGACGGTCACTAATGGGAGGGAGGGGTACCCTGACAGAGATAAATAACATAACACTAAGTTGGTATACATCAGTGGAAACAATCTCAAAAAGAATGAAATAAAACAGCAAGACCATCAGAATCCTTTGTCTACACCGCTTGTCTGAAATTTGCAATAAAATATACATAATTGAAAACAAAAAAGCAGCTATACAAAAACAGTTTGTTAACAGAACCTAAAGATACACAAATGAAAAAGAGAAAAGAACAACCAGGGAGAGTGGAGGCCTCCCACGGAGCAGGGCAGATAGAGCAATGACTATGCAGTTTCTCATACTGTATCACACCTACTAATTGCCTCTCCATTTGTATATCCACTTCCTGTAACAAGAGGCTCCTTAGTTATTAAGAATTCACTGACAAATGTTTGAATTTTAGACAGTCGAGCACTAGAGGGCGAAACTCTCCACATTTTCAATAATGATCAGGCCTAAAGAAAAAAGATTTCTCTTTACAGCAAAATTATAAAATGAGATTTAAAATTTGTTTAAACTCACTGGAATAAGTAATAAAGTAACTTTTCAAATCCTGAGGAAAAAGAACTGTAGAAAAAAAAAAATAGGACAAAAAATTTTTCCAAGACAATAGGAAAAATAAGGGTTCCTAAATCAGGAAGGGTACTTAAATAAGGATACCTAAATAAGGGTACTTAAATCAGCTCAACGATTTAGGTATCTAGATCTTTGTTTATCCTTTCCACTAATTTAATCCAGTGAAACTAAGCATGACCAAGTCATCTCCTTTGGGTCTCAGTTTTCTCATCTGAAAATAAAGTGTCTGATCTGGAGAATATGAAAAGTCATTTTCCAGCTCTAAAATCCTAAAATAATCTGGTAACCTAAGGCTTTAGGGCCTTTCAAGAAAAGAAAAAAAAAGAGTAAAAACCAGAGCATGCTTTATTTTCATATGCCTTTGAATACTCCACACTTGTCCAATTCATTATTTCCACATGCCCTCATTTTTTCATGTTGAATATTTTCATTTTCAAAGAAGAAAGGTTTCTAGCGAGACCAGCAGGACACAAAATTCTTCAATTCTTCTGATTGCGCGAAATGGAAGATGTTTGGGTTATGGGGGTGGATCCCTCATTAACTGATTAATAACCTCCCTTGGGGGTGAGTTCCCAAGAAAGTTGGTTGGTGAGAAGGGCCTAGCACCCCCCTCCCCATGTGATCTGCACACGCTAGCACCCCTTCCCCAGCATGAGGCCCCTGAGGCCCTCACCAGATGCAGATGCCAGTGCCATGCTTCTTATACAGCCTGTAGAACTCTGAGCCAAATAAAGGTCTTTTCTTTGTAAAATCAACCAGTCTCAGGTAATCCAACACAAAATGGACTAAGTGTGGCTACTCTGATGTGGTAACTAATGTAAGGTTTAGGAGGCTTTTTCTCTTGTTCTCCTCCTCCATAAAATTAAGAAGTGATTTTCTTAAAGCCATTTGAGAATACACATCCTAGTCTTTTCTTCTTCATTGCAGCACAAAAAAATACAACACATTTAAAAACCAAAAGAATCAGAGTTCCTATGAAAACCTCTATTGTTTGAGACATGAGAAAGGGTTAAAAAGCAGTGACAACGTCCTGTATGCATTCTCTGTAATGTGGAGAACACAAAATATGATGACGGGTTAGATTTCACTTGAAAAACTCTGGTAGTCAGTAAGCCAAGTCTGGGAGTAAACTCAAAGTTCCGGCAGGAATGGCAGTACACCAAAAGATGAAACAGTCTGATGCACAGTAGATGCTTAAAACGTATTTTGTTGGATAAATAACAATCAGGATAATTACAATACACATTGACCTTACTACTATCAGGCATTACGCTAAACATTTTACATACATTATCTCATAGAACTGCGTATTACAGGGATAATTATCACACCCATTTTTTTTTTTTTTTTTTTTTTTTTTGAGACGGAGTTTCGCTCTGGTTTACCCAGGCTGGAGTGCAATGGCGCGATCTCAGCTCACCGCAACCTCCGCCTCCTGGGTTCAGGCAATTCTCCTGCCTCAACCTCCTGAGTAGCTGGGATTATAGGTACGCGCCACCATGCCCAGCTAATTTTTTGTATTTTTAGTAGAGACGGGGTTTCACCATGTTAACCAGGATGGTCTCAATCTGTTGACCTCGTGATCCACCGGCCTCAGTCTCCCAAAGCGCTGGGATTACAGGCGTAAGCCACCGCGTCCGGCCCTATCACACCCATTTTATACATGAGGTAACTGAGGCTGAGGGAGGAAGGATACTGGATCAAAATTACATAGCTATTAAGTAAGAGTGCCAGGATTTGCATCCTTTTTCTTAACCACTACTCTGTACCTCATACAAACAGAACACGAATGTCCATCCCTTGTCTGTTCTCAACTTTCCTCTTAAGAATATAATTAAGTACACAAAGGCTGAGCCCAGGAAGCAGGCATCAGAACAACTTCCAGAGTTTGTCAGTTAAACCACACTACCATAATTTTATTATTTAAGATATAGTTTTTGTTTCCTTGTAAAAAGGAAAATTACTTGTCATTATGAAGGAAGAAGGGGATACTGAGCACTATGCAAGAGACCTACGTCAGGCATGGTGCTTTCACCTACATTATCCATTCAACCCTCAAAATATCCTCGTGAAGCATTACTCTCATTTTACAGATGAGTTTCAGTGAGATTAAGTAACGTGTCCAAAGTTATGCTGATAATAAGTACCAGTGGACTTCTAGTCTAATTTTAAAGAATTACATTTATTTAAGTGAGGATTTCCATGTGGTTACTGAAAAATCCTGGTAACATCATAATTTCAAATCAAGTTGTATCACTTTGTAATGTCATTTTTACTCTTCACTATCATTTGAATTCCTCAGGTGAATAACCTATGTAGTTTACTCAGTGAGGCAACTTAGTAGATATTACATTAGTCTTTAAATACTTATTAATGTGCAGGCCAGGCATGGTGGCTCACATCTAAAATCTCAATACGTTGGGAGGCTGAGGCAACAGGATCTCTTGAAACCAGGAGTTTGAGACCCGTCTGGGAAACACAGTGAGACTGTCTCAATAAAAAATTTTTTTAAATTAGCTGGGCATGATGGCATGCCCCTGTAGCCCTATCCACTGAGGAGGATGAGAAAGATTTCTCGAGCTCAGGGGTCTGAGGTTATAGTGAGCTATGATCACACTGCTGCACTCCAGCCTGAGTGAGAGTGAGATCCTGTGTCTGAAAATAAATATGCTGGGCATAGTGCCTCATGCCTATAAGCCCAGTACTTTTGGGAGGCTGAGGACAGCAGATCACTTGAGCCCAGGAGTTCAAGACCAGCCTGGTCAACATGGTAAAACCCCATCTCTAATAAAAATACAAAAATTAGCTGAGCATGGTGGTGCATGTCTGTAGTCCCAGCTACTTGGAGGCTGAGGCAGGAGAATTACTTGAACCCAGGAGGCAGAAGCTGCAGTGAGCTGAAACCACGCCACTGCACTCCAGCCTGGGTGACAGAGCAAGATCTCATCTCAAAAAAATAAATAAAATACATATTAGTGTGCAATAGTTCACTAATATTTAAAAATATTTTATAATTATTTCTGTCTAGGAGTATGGAACCTGATGATTACTCTCTAGAATGTTGATTTTCAAACATGTTTTTTCCAATCATCTAGGAGTCTTTCTGTCAAATAGAATCTTGCATGGAAGCCCAATATACGAAACTTAAAAAAGGGAGGCTTTTTTGAAGAATCAAGGCAAGCCCAGGGCTCTGCCTGCTTGGTCTCCCCACTGTTCCTTAGGCTTCTCGGACAAATACTCTCCCCCTTGGGCTAGTTCCTCACAAGTAAGGTCTTCTGCCTTGATTAGAGCATTTCACAATTATTTGTGCAGGTTGTTTATCCTGAGTAAAATGCAAGACTCATGGTAAAGCCAGTATATTTTCACTGCATAAGACAGAAGCTCTTCCTTGAAGACTTCTGTGCAGAACTACATCCAGTGAACAGAAGTCTACTCCATTTTTAGTGAGGCATTCTTCCCTACTGCAGACATCAGCCTGATATCCTTTTCAGGGCTGCCATATATGGGGTCATACCTAAGCAAATACCAAATTCATTACTAAACTCACTAAAATGCTATCCTCTTTTTACAATAATTCAAGTACTACACTGCTGAGAAACTAAACATTTGAAAACATAGTACAAAGGATTAAGAACCTATGTATAGTCTATAGGATTCTTTGAAAAGTCATTAACTTATCATCTCAACTTCTCATGTATAAAAATCACTTAACCTTGTGAAGCAATAAAAACCACAGTTGTAACGCACAATGAGGATATAAGTGTTACTGGCAAAATAAATTGTTCTAATGACTTGCCCCTTTCATGGAACAGAAAATAAACACACCTTTGCCAAGATGCGTGTTGATAGACATGTATCTTGCAGTTCCAGTTAAACTTTTGTGTTCCCTATAAGGTATGTGTTTTTTGGTTTCAGGGTCAATGTATTCCTTGGCTAGTCCAAAGTCTATAATGTGTATTACACGTTCTTTCTTATTGCCTTGTCGGCCAATCAGGAAGTTCTCTGGCTTGACATCTCGGTAGATGAGGTTCTTTGAGTGCACATATTCCATTCGAGAAAGCTGAAAGAGAAACATTATGAAAATACTCCAAAGAAGCGTATCAGGAAAATACATCAAAATGGTTTCTTTTATCAGATCAAGGTTTTAATTACTGAAATAACAGTAAAATTCATCTCCTTTTCACCACCCAGAGTCAATTCACTGACTTGTAAACCAAAAAATATTTTTGTTATAAATACATACCTAACAAATATCAAGACTAGGAAAAGAAAGTGGGATTAGTACGGGTCAGCTAAAATGATAATTCAGTTTTACCTCATAATGTCACAATTTGTAAATGATGAATGAAATTAATTGTTTATATGCTACTTCAGCAAATTAAGCAGTTGAGGGAAAAGAAGTATTCCCAGGTAGGATATCAAACTGTTGGTGACCTTTGAGACAAATGCCACTGCCATATTCACCTCCTACCCACACCTTCCTATCCTTAGTTGGACAAGACTACCTAACCCAGCTTTCATTGTTGTGAGGCCCAGAGAAGTTAATACTGACCTGATATCACATAGCTAATTAGCAGCACAGACAGGGAAACAGTTCATTTTATTTTTTTATTTTTTGAGATGGAGTCTCGCTCTGTCTCCCAGGGTGGAGTGCAGCCTCTGCCTCCCAGGTTCTAGCAATTCTCGTGCCTCAGCCTCATAAGGAGCTGGAATTACAGGCAAATGCCACCATGCCCGGCTAATTTTTGTATTTTTTGTAGAGAGGAGGTTTCACCATCTTGGCCAGGCTGGTCTCAAACTCCTAACCTCGGGTGATCTGCCCTCCTTGGCCTCCCAAAGTGCTAGGACTACAGGCACATGCTATTGTGCCTGGCTGAAACAGTTCATTATTGTTGTTATGTTAAATTTATTTTGAGATTATTTTTGTAGGGATGGGGTCTCACTATGTTGCCTAGGCTGGTCTCAAACTCCTGGTCTCAAGCGATCCTCCCACCCCAGCCTCCCAAAGTGCTGTGATTACAGACATGAGCCACCATCCCTGGCCAGGGCTACAGTTTTTATGTTAATTATAACCAAGAATAATCATAAAGTTATTTCAAATTGTATTATTTCTATTTGCTAAGCTTTTTTACTTACTTTTAGTACAGAAAGAAAAGCTCAGACATTTAAATTTGGGGCTCAAAAGGCAAAGTCAATTATCTAACATTTCCAGATTTTTATAGGACAGTGGAAGTGACCATTACCATTTTAAACATATAAAGATACATTTACATCCTTCCCCAAAAGGCTGTGACAAACTTCTCAAAGAAACTGCAGGAACTGCTTCTTAAACTGGTATTGGTGTGTAATTTGGTAAGAGCTACAAGAGCTGCCTCTTCAGCTGAAATTTGTCTCTGAGAGAACTGGAGGCCAGAGAACTACAGCAAATTCCTGGTCACACAGTTTTGAATCTGAATGGTAGTGCAATGGGTTATATTTTCAGTCTTTTCTTGATTGCAACTGTGAAGGGAGAGAGGACACAACAAAGCCTTACAGCTATATGTTTAAAACATATAAATAGGTTGAGTGCAGTGGTTCATGCCTGTAATCCCAGCATATTGGGAGGCTGAGGTGGGAGAACCACTTGGGAGCAGGAGTTTAGACCAGCCTGGGCAACATAGTGGAAGCCTATCTGTACAATATTTTTTACAAAATTAGCTGGCATGGCACCTGCAGTCCTAGCTGCTGGAGAGGCTGAGGCAGGAGAATGGACTGAGCCCAGGAATTTGAGGTTGCAGTGAGGTATGATCACGCTACTGCATTCAAGCCTGGGTGACAGACACCCTGTCTCAAAAACAAAAAACAAAACAAAACAAAATCAAATAAATTATTTGCATTTTTACAACTCCATCTAATCATCTTCTTTCTCCCAAATCTAAATTCTATGCTTCCTCTCCAGTTAAGGGCAGAGCATTGCTCCAACGTGCAAAGTCTTAAAATAGAGCAAACTGCAGATGTAGTGTGACTTCTCTGAGTTTACCCTTTTTGCCCCAGCTGGCTTCCCAGAATGTCATCAAACCTGTGAGTACTAATTCCTGATGTGTCACTACAGCTAATAAATCACCAAAAGGCCCATAAGGATGTGGCTCAGGAACCAGCCTGTTCTCTTCTCGAGCAGCAATTCCAACTTACCAACTGGATGGCTATCATCAACACGGTCTTCAAGGTAAATGTTCGGTCACAGAGGTCAAACAGGTCTTCCAAGCTAGGGCCGAGGAGCTCCAGCACCATGGCATTATACTTCCCACATGGCCCAAAGTAATACACCTGTGGGAGACCTTCGCCTGAAAGCAGAGGGGAAATGGGGGTACAGAGTGGGAGGCACAAAAACCAAAATATGAGATAATGGTTTTAGCACTGAATAAAGTATTTTTAAAAGTACAGCTTGTGAGATTTCCATTTTCTTTCATAGTCCCTGCTGGAAACTTAAACTTGGCACAACAGCTTCAACAGGAACTAATAATGGTGGGACAGGCTAAGCCATTGAACAGTATGTTCAAATAAGTAGTTATTTAGTTATTTAATACTACGGTGCCAAAAGCATTTCCACTGCTATATAAGACAGAGAATGCTCCCTGGTCCACTGAATCTTCCCAAAGGCTACCTGAGAGTAGAGTATCATAAAAGGCTCTAAGGATGGCTCACTGAGATCAAAGGCCTGGCTAACAGAACTTTTTACATCAGCTGGTTCATGAGCACCCCTTATACTTACTGCCATAGCCACATGGGCTATTTGCAACTGTTGCCTTATGGAGAACTCCCATTGAAGAGGCAAGGTCACAGAGAGTGCAGTCTGGCCCTACACCAGCACAACTTGCCCTCTTTTCACAGGGAGTTCTCTGTAGTTTTTTGTTTTCTATCAGCTGGAGAAAAGCCAACAGACACTTAAGTGTTTGGTTGCTAATAAGTATTGATGAAAGAAAAAAGGGGAAAAACACAAGGCTGGGTTTTCCCCAGATTTGAAATTCATAGCTATTAAAAAGCCAAAATCCAGACTTTTTCACCTAAGTGGCAAATTGTGAATAAATTTCCTTTATAAACTGCATTGTAAATATGAGGCATTCACTAAATATATAACTGGTACCATGAGAATAGTAGGTATTAATAAGATTACAGAGGCCGGGCATGGTGGCTCACACCTGTAATCCCAGCACTTTGGGGGGCTGAGGTTAGTGAATCACAAGGTCAGGAGTTCGAGACCAGTCTGACCAACATGGTGAAACTCCATCTCTACTAAAAATACAAAAATTAGTGGAACGTGCATGTAATCCCAGCTACTCGGGAGACTGAGAGGCAGGAGAATAGATTGAACCTGGGAGGCAGAGGTTGCAGTGGGCTGAGATGGTACCACTGCACTTCAGCCTTGGCAACAGCGCGAGACTCTGTCTCAAAAAAAAAAAAAAGATTACAGAACATTAAAAATTATCTTATTTCATAGAGCAGAAGAAACATTTCCATCTTCTACATTTATGTATATAGCGGTCTACAGTTGTATGTTGTAGATTATTGTTCGTTTCTGCCTTCAAGTGTTTTAGACAGCAAAATTCTCTCCATCTTCCCACTCCCGCCACCCTTTGTTTTTTTTTTTTTACTTGAGGCAAGGTCTCAATGTCACCCAGGCTGGAGTGCAGTGGTGAGATCTCTGCTCACTGCAATCTCTGCCTCCTGAGATAACACAATCTTCCAAGCTTAGCCTCCCAAGTAGCAGATGGGACTGCAGGCTCGCTCTACCAAACCAGGCTAAGTTTTTCATTTTTTTGTAAAGATGAGGTCTTGCTATGTTACCCGGGCTGGTCCTGAACAACTCCCAAGCTCAAGTGATCTTCCCTCCTTGGCCTCCCAAAGTGCTGGGATTACTGTGCCTGGCCCCATTCCCTTTTTATTTGTATGGGTGACATATAGGCAGATGTACATGTAACACATCCTTCTTTCCAGGGTAGTTATTCTATATTTGGAATTAATAACTATTTCACATATTGTATTAGTCTATCTTGATCCCTTAAATTCTAAACAACTTTTTTTTGGTGGCAGGGGCAGGAAAGAGTGTCACTCTGTCACCCAGGCTGGAGTGCAGTGGCACAATCTTGGCTCACTGTAACTTCTGCCTCCTGGGTTCAAGCAATTCTCATGTCTCAGCCGCCCAAGTAGCTAAGATTACAGGCATGGTGCCCAACAATTTTTTTTTTTTTTTTTTTGGTATTTTTAGGAGACACAGGGTTTCACCATGTTGGCCAGGCTGCTCTCGAACTCCTGACCTCAAGTGATCCGCCCACCTCAGCCTCCCAAAGTGCTGGGATTACAGACGTGAGCTACCATGCCCGGCCTAAATCCTAAACAGCTTGAATGTCTTCTTTAAAGATGTTTAGTCCTAGCTTGTATCCTCCAATAAATATTACTCCTGATAGTTCAATAAATATCTGTTCAATTGTCTTTTGGTTGTTTTGATTCTCCCTATCTCCAAAACAGAAAAGGATTTAATGTGAAGTGTTTTTTTGTTTGTTTTTGAGACAGAGTTTCACTCTGTAGCCCAGGCTGGAGTGCACTGGTGCATCTCAGCTCATTGCAACCTCCACCCGCCAAGTTCAAACCATTCTCCTGCCTCAGCCTCCTGAATGTGTCTTTTTTCTCTGTTGTTTGGCAGAAGTCATTTTTCAGTTTTTTTTAAATACACAAAACCCAGAAGTTGTTTCCAATGACTCCTGCTGAGACATCCAAAGCAGAACATTCTGTCCTAGAGATTTACTGCTTTTATTAATCAGATACATGGTAAATGCAGTTTAGGGATCTTTTAAATTTATCTCCTATATAAGGATTTGATGCCACTAAAATGTTATTTTCCTAATATAAATATTATATTCTTCAAAGCAGGTTGTGGCAGAGCCTGCTGTTTACATGCCCAATAGCCATTCTCCCTCTCCTTTTTTCTTTTGAGATAGGGTCTCACTGTGTCACCCAGGCTAAAGGGCAATGGTGTGACCACAGCTCACTGCAGCCTTGACATCCTGGGCCCAAGCAATCCTCCTGCCTCCGCCTTCCAAACAGCTGGTAGCACAGGCACATGCCACCACATCGGGCTTGTTTTTAAAATTTTTTCCAGAGATGAGGTCCCACTATGTTGTCCAGGCTAGTGTCGAACTTCTGGACTCAACTGATCTTTCTACTTTGACCTCCCAAAGTGCTGAGATTATAGGCATACCTCTCCCCGGCTTTTTTTTTTTTTTTTGAGACGGAGTCTGGCTCTGTCGCCAGGCTGTAATGCATCGGTGCAATCTTGGCTCAATGCAACCTCTGCCTCCTGGGTCTAAGAGGGTCTCATGTCTGAGCTTCCCAAGTAGCTGGGACTACAGGCACACACCACCACACCCAGATAATTTTTGTATTTTTAAAATAGACGGGTTTCACTATGTTGGCCAGGACGTCTCAATCTCCTGACCTTGTGATCTGCCTGCCTCCGCTTCTCAAAGTGCTGGGATTACAGGTGTGAGCCACAATGCCCAGCCTCCCATCCTTTTAAAATAACTTTTTTTTTTTTTTTGCTCTGTTGCCTAGGCTGGAATGCAGTGGCGTGATCTCGGCTCACCACACCCTCTTGTCTCCTGGGTTCAAGCCATTGTCCTGCCTCAGTCTCCCAAGTAGCTCGGATTACAGGCCCCTGCCACCATGCCTGGCTACTTTTTGTACTTTTAGTAAAGATGAAGTTTCATCTTGTTCATCTTGTTGGCCAAGTTGGTCTTGAACTCCTGACCTCAAGTGATCCATCTGCCTCAGCCTCTGAAAGTTCTGGGATTATAGGTGTGAGCTGTTACACCTGGTCCAGCATTTCTAATTGTTGCAAATAGCAACTTGCCCAGTTATAACTCCAGTCTTCCTTGAGCCTTGACAATTAGGAAAGACCAATGAGATGGAAGCAGAAATGAGTGTATAACTCTTTTTTTTTTTTTTTTTGAGACAGAGTCTTGCTCTGTTGCCCAGGCTAGAGTGCAGTCACACAATCTCAGCTCACTGCAACCTGTGTCTCCTAGGTTCAAAGCTGGGACTAGAAACACCTGTCCCCATGCCGGCTAATTTTTGTTTAGTTTTTGGTAGAGATGAGCTTTCTCCATGTTGGTCAGGCTGGTCTTGAACTCCTGGCCTGAAGTGATCTGCCTCTCTTGGCCTCCCAAAGTAATGTGATTACAGGCATTAGCCTCCACACCTGGCCTCTGAGTATATAATTCTAAAAAAGCTCTTTCAAAAGAACTGGCTAGAGTGAAAGGTGTGACCTTCTAAAGATCCCAGAAGCCATTTAGAATCACCAGACATCTTGAGGATGTAAAATAGTGCCAAGAATAGGTGAAGCAAAAATGAGAAGAACCCGAATCCCTGATGGCTGTGGAGCAACCATGCCAATATTGGACTTTTCTTCCCTCTGGACTTTTTTTTATCAAAAAGAAAAATCAATCTCCACCTTGACTGAGCTACTTGTATTTGGATTTTTTAAAAGCAGCCAACTCTAATCCTAATTAATAAACATATCACTCCATTCATTGGTTAAATTGCAAATCTGGGCATAATATCCTCTTTCTAAAGTACAAGCTAAAAGCCAGGCTTGCTTAGAAATATAATACTGGCATAATTTCCTACACTTGTTGCCAATACTTAAGGTTCAGTTTAAATGAGACAACTGATCTTGTTTCTCAATAATCTTTAGTATCAAATCTAGATATCTTTTGCAAGAAGCTTCCATGTTTACAATGAAGTCACAAAAGCATTTTGAGTAATACCTATAATTTTTAACTACAATGTCACCCATAACTCCCACCTAGGAACTATAAAGAATTAGGAGTTCCTGCTCACTGCATTATTGCTTTTATTAAGTGCCCTAAGACCTCACAACTCACTGGTAGGCTTTGGGATGCTCAAAGCAACTTCTAAACCACTGAGTGGCTTTGAAGCATTTCTAAGAGGGGACAAGGTCCAAGATACTAGTGTAGAAAGAGCTCAAGTCAGAGTCTTAGATATAGTATTTGCTTCTGCTTTCAACTCTGGCAAATTCCTTAGCCTCTCTGGATTAGCTTATTCATCTGTAAAGAGGAGGGGGTTTACACAATGAGATACCATCTCATGCCAGTCAGAATGGTGATTATTAAAAAGTCAGGAAACAATAGATGCTGGTGAGGCTGTGGAGAAATAGGATCACTTTTACACTGTTGGTGGGAATATAAATTAGTTCAACCATTGTGGAAGACAGTATGGTGATTCCTTAAAGATCTAGAACCAGAAATACCATTTGACCCAGCAATCCCATTGGGTATATACCCAAAGGAATATACACAATTCTACTATAAAGACAGAAGCACATGTATGTTTATTACAATAGCAAAGACATGGAACCAACCTATATGCCCATCAGTAATAGACTGGATAAAGAAAATATGGTACATATACACCATGGAATACTATCCAGCCATAAAAAGGAGTGAGATCATGTCCTTTATAGGGACATGGATAAAGCTGGAAGCCATCGTCCTCAGCAAACTAACACAGGAACAGAAAACCAAATACCACAAGTTCTCACTCATAAGTGGGAGTTGAACATTGAGAACACATGGCCACAGAGAGGGGAACAACACATACCAGGGCCTGCTGGGGTTGGGGGAGAGGGGAGGGAACTTAGAGGACAGGTCAATAGGTGCAGCAAACCACCATGGCACACGTATACCTATGTAACAAACCTGCACGTTCTGCACATGTATCCTGTTTTTTTTTTTCTCTTTAGAATAAACAAAAAAAAAAAAAAGAGGAGGGGGTTTAGATTGTTTCCTTTCAAAACCCAAATTCTTATTATGACCAGGATTTTCTTCTAGCTACTTTTTGAGCTCCTCTTTGTAAAGCCACAGAACTACTATGAATGAAACTCACCTCCATATTTTATGAAATAACATGTGCCAGCAATTCAAACATAAGCTGGTAGTGAAACTCAACTGGAAGTGTATCTCTCAGAAATTTCTTTAAAACTTAAAACAAAAAAAAAATCAGATGCAATGACTTCACCTCCTACCTACTGAGTCAGAATTTCTAGAAGTAGAAGCAAACATTGCTCCACAGTGATTCTGATGTGTAACCTCAGCTGAAAAACACTTTATCTAGAGAGCAGAAATAAAGGGTATTGCTTTGGTTTATGATTAATATATCATAATGATTCAGAAAACACTGACAAGTCTCTTTCAGAAGTTCTTTCAGATCAAAACAACTGGACTCAATACCTTTTGAAAGAAATGATTTTAAGGGAAGCTAACAAGATTTCTCTGTTTAAAGTTTCTTAGGTATTACAGAAAATATACCTTTAAGCATAAAAGTTTCTTTGGGAGATGTAGTTGTAATTTTTTAGAACTATCTGTACAGAGAGCTGCCCATGCAACTTCTATTCTGAGCCTGGTTTTTCACATGACTGTGGTCTGTGCTGGTGGTAAAAGACAGAAACACAGGTACACTAAGAAAGTCTGTCTCTTTGGTCAGCGATTACCACACAATAATGGCTTATCAGCTGGGCTGCATTTAAATGAAAAAAAAAAAAAAATCCCATATGTTTCATTCTTCTTTTGTAGTGCTGTCTCAAATCCACTGCTTAAGAAATTTTAAATTAATCAACATTATGCTATGAAATGCTTTAACGAGACTGGGGAGAGGGGCAGATCTTTAAGTGCAACATAAGCTACACATGTAGTAAACAGGTACTTTCTATAAATAATTATGAGGGAATGAAAAGGAGGTGAGAGTGTCAGGCAAGGTAGGTACATGCTGTTATTCTTTGATCAATGGTATACTGGAAACTACGGTATTGTATCTCTCACCTGTTCTGGAAAAAATACAGTAATGAGGTCTTCCCCTCCCACATTGGCTAACTGCATAGAAACCTGGAAACTAAATAAGTGACTACTAATTTTCCTTTTCCGAAGGATTTCCAATAGATTTCATTATATTTCCTTTACAGGTTAAATCTCTTATAAAACAAAACTGCAAGGTTACATATAAACTACATATGTTATCTTGTATATTTTCCTTAGTAGTAAGAAACAGTCTTTCCATCATCAATAACATATTGCTACAAACCCTGCTGGACATATGGCTCACACATATATCAAGCTGCACAGAACAGGAAATGAATGTAGAACACTAGAACTAATTTTCAGTCTGTACTAAGTTTAACTTGAGTTAAATACACCAAATCAAGGATAATGGCTTCTTTTATCATCCAAGCTGTTATCTAAAAACAATCCACAATGTATTATGAACAGTAACTACTCTAAGTAGAGATATTTTTAAATGCACATTAGGTTGGGAACTGAAATAGAACCACCTCAAAGCTTTTGGTAGTTTGATCCTATTATTGCCTAATAATTAGTCTTTCAATCTTTTTTAAAAACTAAATTACCTAACTTTGAAGATCAACGACCTTGACAAGCCTCTTCTTTTGCTTTGTTTATACAGTTTATTTTTTAATGTTTAAAGAAAATAGAATAATTTTTCTCTCAAACCAAATTAATTCTCTTCTCAGCCCCATCAATGGTAGTACTTTCTAGCACAGCTACTAAATGCTCTGGAAGTTTCTGAGGGATCGGGCAATTATTATTATAATAAATGGGTAATTAGCATTAAAGAAAATAATATTAAACATGTATACTTAGCAAGAAATCAGAAATAGGCAGCTAACTGAGATGATATTCCATAGTAAGTAGTGACAGGGAAAAATGGAAGCATAGCCTTTAAAATTCAGAGAATAAATCCATAAAACAATGCATTATTACACAGATATGAGATAATCTATAGTATTTCTTCTTTTTTTTTTTTTGAGACAGAGTCTTACTCTGTCGCACAGGTTGAAGTGCAGTGGCATGATCTCAGCTCACTGCAACCTCCACCAACCATGTTCAAACGATTTTCCTGCCTCAGCCTCTTGAGTAGCTGGGATTACAGGTGCCTGCCAACGTGCCTGCCTAATTTTTGTAGTTTAAGTAGAGACGGGGTTTCACCATCTTGGCCAGGCTGGTCTCAAACTCCTGACCTCATGATCCACATGCCTCAGCCTTCCAAAGTGCTGGGATTACAGGCATAAGCCACCATGCTGGGCCAGTATTTCTTTTTTAAAAAAGAACAATCAATCCCTCTCATTTCTCTGACTCTGAAAAATGTCTCTTTGCAACATGAACCAGTTAAATATATGAATTTACTCAAAATGCTGGTTTAATAACAACAACAGCTAGGCCCAGAATTAAGAAAACAGGATTACTTTGTCTGTCCTATAATGAAAAATCTTTTACAACCATCTTGTTTAAAGGTCTCATGGGAACTGAAATACTGCCAAACATAGGCTGCTAATACGAGCTCAAATTTGTATGGTAGGGGAAGAAGCAGTGAAGAAAGGCAAGAGAAGAGAAATAATTTCACATTTCTGAGCCACAGACATTGAGCTTCTACAGTTTCTCTATTCCATACACATAATTATGAAGGCCTTGAGCCTTAAAGCAGGCTTAATGTTTTATTTATCCAAAAGGAGTCAAAAAAGAAAGCCCAAGACAGGACAGATTTCTTCTATAGTAGATAGAATCCAAACTACACATGTCCCACCATGCCTGGCTAATTTCTGCATTTTTAGTAAAGCTGGGGTTTCACCATGATGGCCAGGCTGTTCTCAAACTCCTGGCCTCAAGTGATCTACCTTGTCTCTGAGACAGGAGAATAGGGTCTGGAAACAGGAAACCTAAGGCCAACCTATACCTGCCTTCTTGGAACTGGACGAAGAGGAATACCCCACCTGTCCATGACCAAGTAATAAGGGGCCAAAGGCTCATCTCTCTCCAAACCTTCTCTCCCCTATGTCAGGAATGGGACTATCTGGTTTTGGTCCATTCTGGAACCTTCATTTGCATATATGCCATAGGAAAGCATCCTCTGATTGGTCCTGGGCAGAATCCTGCTTCTGACTGGTTCTGGGCTAAATCCTGCCTCTCATTGGTTGGGGGCAGATCCTTCATTTCCATAGGGCATAACCTATCAGAGGCCTCTAAAGGTACTTAGGGGTGTTACCATGTTCTTTGTTTGTTGTTGTTGATACAGAGTTTTGCTCTTGTCGCCCGGGCTGGAGTGTAATGGTGTGACCTTGGTTCAAAGCAAACTCCGCTTCCCAGTTTCAAGTGATTCTCCTGCCTCAGCCTTCAGAGTAGCTGGGAATGCAGACACCTGCCACCACGCCCAGCTAATTTTTGTATTTTTAGTAGAGTCACGGTTTCATCATGTTGGCCAGGCTGGCCTCCATCTTCTGACCTCAAGTGATCCACCTGTCCCGGCCTCCCAAAGTGCTGGCATTACCGGCATGAGCCAGCATACCTGGCCTACCATGCTCTTTTAATTCAATAAAACCCCCAAGGAATATTACAACCAGGGCTCTTGAGCCACCTACTGAAGCCTGCTCCCACTCTGGAGTGTACTTGTGCTTCAATAAATCTATGCCTTTGTCTTACGTTGCTTTGCATGTTTTGTCCAATTCTATACCCAATGTGCCAAGAACTTGGACAACTTGCAGTCAAGACTTTCCATCTGGTAACACCTTGGCCACCTAAAGTGCTGGGCACATGAGCCACTGCGCCCAGTCCAAGACACAAACTCGTAAAAGCGTGTTGTACATTAGAGGTGGGGCAGGGGGTAAAGTCCTTTCTCTTTCCAAAAAGAGGAATTCAGCTTAGCTGAGTTACTAACAGACTAACTTTATTCAGCTGGTAAATTAATGAGATTAAAAAACCCAGTATCTGACATTTTCCCACCTTCCTTAGTACTATAGTTCCTATAATTTAAGATACGAAGATGGAATATCTATTGAATTTCAAAATCTATCAAAACCTAAGAAAAGATACCTGATTCTTCTTAAAACACACCTGAACAATTAACAACTAAAAAGTCAAGAAGGTTGTAGCAGGCATTTAGAAGGAATGAAAAACAAAAAATGAGGTTACCCAAGTACAGTGATCCCCTTCCTGACAATCCTGCCCCACTCCCATTACACTTCCTTTATACATGTGCCTGTCTTGTCGACTAACAGAAGGCTATTTGAAGGCAAGAACTACTGTGTGTTAATTGTTTGGGTCTCACTCTATCACCCAGGCTAGAGCGCAGTAGCGTGGATTATAGCTCATTGCAGCCTTGACTTCCCAGGCTCAAGCAATACTCCCACCTCAGCCTCCTGAGTAGCTGGGACTTATAGATGTGTGCCATCACACCTAGCTAATTTTTAACTTTTTGTTGATAGAGGGTCCTACTAGGTTGCTCAGGTTGATCTCGAACTCCTCAGCTCAAGCAGTTCTCCCACCTCATCTTCCCCAAATTGCCAGATATCTAAACTTTCTTTGGTCCCTATTCTGACTCTAGGCCTGGGCCTATTTTCAACATTTAGCACTACAGTCCCATTACTTCAATATTCAGGTCCATGGGAGTATTTAAAAATAAAATCTCAGGTTACCTTCCTTTTAGAAAATTAATTAGACCTGGGCATGGTGGCTCACACCTGTAATCTCAGCACTTTGGGAGGCTGAGGCAGGAGGATTACATGAGGCCAAAAGTTTGAGACCAGCCTGGGCAACATAGGGAGAACCCATGTTTACAAAAAATAAAAAAAAATAAGTTGGGCATAGTGGTGTATGCCTACGCTCCCAGCTACGCAGGAAGCTGAAGTGGGAGAATCTCTCGAGGCCAGAAGGTTGAGGCTGCAAAGAGCTGTGATGACACCACTGCACTTCAGCCTGGGTGACAGAGCAACACTCCATCTCCAAATACATATATATAAACGAGGAGCTGTGCCTATATTTTTCACTACTGTATCCTCAAGACTTAGCTTAGAATAGTACTTAACCCAAGTGGGATGCTCAAGAATATCCCTTTAATAAATGCATAAACAGAGACATAGCAGCCTCTGGGCCTTGGTTTATTTTTTGTACTTGGAAAGCTTTCCTTACTCTTCCATTTTTATATGTCCAAATAAGTCATAGTCCCTTTTTAAAACTCAGCCCCATACATGCCACTGTCTCCATAAAACCTTGTCTCTTTCCCAAAATTAGAAACCGTTTTTTTCTTTCAGAACTTCCTCATCATTTTATAAGTATCTTAAAAATATACATAACATTCTACCGTTTTAACTTGTGCTACAGTTGCTTACCCTTATCATCCTACCATTAACCTTACTGTCCTACCATGAATATACTGTAAGCTCAGTAAACATTACATTTTCCTTCCAATGACACTCTAGTGTCCTGAAGGGCAGAGATCATATTTATAATTCTTTGGCCCTCAAATTACCCAGCATAGTGCTAGCTCCAAACACAGCTGATGTGTAGTGTTTTGTTAGTGAACACTTCATCTCCTTGCATTATCACTAATGTAGAAAAAGTTACATACAGGCTGACCTTAAGGCAATATGAAGTACAAAGAAAGAGAAAAATGCTAAAAGTGTTTTAGATTGCCAAAAGCACAAGAATGCAGAATCATGCGGAGCTGACGAACTCTTTTAGTGGCTATAAATTACTTTTGTAGAAAGAAAATGACAATATAACTGGTCACAAATGTTAAAAATTGATCTTTTTATTGGTTTTTGTTCTAAGCACACTTATAAATAAGTTACATTCTACAAATACGAAAGCGCTTAGCTAAGCAACTAGATTACTATTTTGATAGTATGCACAATGAGTTATCTTTATATAGATAGTTTGGTTACTGGAACTTAAGGAAATGTTTTCTTTTTATTTTATTTTTTTTAGTCAGAGTCTTGCTCTGTCACCCAGGCTGGAGTGCAGTGGTGCGATCTCTGCTCACTGCAATCTCTGCCTCCCAGGTTCAAGCAATCCTCTGCCTCAGCCTCCAGAGTAGCTGGGATTACAGGCACCTGCCACCATGCCAGGCTAATTTTTTTTGTATTTTTAGTAGAGATGACCATCTTGGCCAGACTGGTCTTGGACTCCTGACCTCGTGATCCACCTGCCTTGACCTCCCAAAGTGCTGAGATTACAGGTGTGAGCCACGGCACCAAGCAAGGAAATGTTTTCTTACCAGTGACACTGACAGAAACTGGAAAGGTACTAGTTACGTTTTAACATAAGACAGTAGATACGTACTACTGCCTTCTCATAATCCATAGGAATAATTCTCCTCAACGACTTACCTTCTTCATTCCATAGTACTCCACAGGTTTGGGGATGCTAAATGCAACCTCCCTTATAAATGATTAACCTTGACATACTATGAGCTAGGAGGAAGAGTGACTAACGGCTTTAGTCAGTCCTTTGAGGGTCACTGAGCTTACTTCTAGTCTTTACTTTAGACTGAGACTTCCCTTGTCTTTGACTTCCTTAAACAAGCATCTTCAAGGGCAGCCACTAAAAGCTCTACTCAATGCTGGAAAAATGGCTGTGAAAAAATATGGATGGAAGAGACAATACAGGTATACAGTAAGAGAGATATGAGTAAAGACCAAAAAAAAAAAAAGTCAAAATACGACCTAGAATTAAAGGGAGAAAATGGCACCAGAACATTTTGAGTCTATTTCCAAGCAAACTCCCACTGACAGGTTTTGGTGATCCACCTTTTCCAAACCTCTGCCTGCATAAGCACTGTATCGATTTCGTGTAACTAATGACAACTCTTCAGTTCACTTAATGTGTAAGTTACATGGGTATATTTCTAGAACCCTATCTTCTATTTTTCATGAAGCCCTTTAAAAGAAGACAAAATCCAAGTGGCAAATTCTACCTTCACACTGAGCAAATGCCTCAAGCAGTTCTGCACTTTGCAGAACGATGTGCTGAAAAGGTGTCAGTACTTTGTGTTACTGTGGGATGTATGAAGGCTAATTTCTATAATAAACGCACAATAGTCTATTTGCAATTAAGGAAATTACTGGTCTAAAATGAGTAAAATAGAAGTGGTTCTCTTTTGCAGGAGGGAAAAGGACAGATTCCCTTTTTTTTTTTTTTTTTTACATTTTCCTTTCCCTAGTTCAAAGTTCCAATTTTGTAAATGTAATCAAAGGCAGTTACTCTATGTGGCTCAGGTGATTTAGAGCTATTTGAGAATTTCAAGGGGTAGGGAAGGGCCACAGGAGGTTTGGCTCTAACAGATAAGCAAGTCTCGTACAGCATTATATATGAATATCTCTTGCTTATATTTCATCACACAGTAGGGTACATTGTTAGCCATAGTATCACAATGTCCTAAAACTTTAAACTACGGAAAATACAAAGGACACACAACTGGAGAATTTGTCCTGGTCCAGAAGTCGGGCCTCAGAAATATCAGGGTTTTGTTTTTGTTTTTTTGCAAACTAGTATAGTTACAGGCTAAGCTCCTGATATTTCACCCTTAGAAGAAGAGATGAAAATTCATAGTATCACTATTCAAGCTCCATTAAAGACTAGCAATTATTAGTACTGGGTATGTGAATTATAACTCTCCAAGCCCAGTAAATGAAAGAACTCTTCCTATTTTTTCTTCACAAAATTAAGCATTTGCCATAGACCGGACTTAAGCTGCAACATCAATCGAAGCATTTAAATATCCTCTTAAAATGTTTCCTGACAATGTAGGTAGATTTGAAATCTCTCTCTCCCTTTCCCTTCCTCTTTCAAAGGAAAAGACGACCACACAACACTTTTCCTCGTCTGACATTTGTTCTATACACTATAAGATAGAGCTGCTTTTCATATACCTATCAGGTTCTTGCTACGAACTCATGAAATCGAGCAGTTTTATATTTGAGTTCTGCTCCCTAAGAGGAACAACTGTGACATTAGTGCTGCTCAGATATTTTCAAACGCCCCCTCACCCTTTACCCAGTGAACAGGATAATGTTTTGTTTTTAATATGAGACTTCTGCTGTTGCCCTAATATTTACTTATTTCAAATAGGCCACTCACGCAGAAAAGACAGGTTCTCAGAGAGTAAAAGTTAGGCAGATATTGCTTTAAACCTCAACTCATCATTCCAGACCCCCTCAAAGTATAAGAGGGGCTGCCTCTTTTAATAGAGGCTCAAAGTAGGTTTTTCTCCAAAGTGATTATTTTCCCACAAGAGTTGGTGAGTACAATACATTGTGAAAGGTGTAATTCTCCTTCTGGAAGTACTCATTGCCCTATGCCAGGACCAAATACTTGCTCTCAGCTTCTACTCCCTACTGTGAGAATCTCAAGATGTTAAAATGTCTCAAGGCAAAATGGCTTGCTATTTAGCAGGTGTTAACAAGAAAAGAAAGAAAAGCATGGTCTGTGATCTGTCCATTCCTTTGTTATACTGTCAGTTATTTTCTCCCAGCTCTTAAGCCTCATTCTTAGAGAATCTGCTCTCTCTTGAGTGGTGGCGCCCAGATTCTGTACCCACAAGTAAGCTACCTGGACCAGGATTGAAAAGCTCACCCAAAATGGGTCAGCCAGTCTTTTCCTCAGGGATTTGCAATTGTGACATACGGGCTCTAGTCAATCTCTGCTAAGGCTTAAATTGAGGAGAAAGGCTGGGCAGAGGCCTTTTCCCAAGAAATATAAAAAAGTAGAGAAGGCTGGTAATGTAGAGAAAATGGTGCTGGTAGACAGAAGCTGAGGCAAGAGATTTTACAGCCCTAAGCAGGAGGAGGGTCAAAAAAAGTGTCGGAGACAGGAAGAGTTGAAAGCCAGGGACCAAGAGTAGTTGTCTTGGTTCCTAGACCTTTTCCAAGTGCTTTGTTCTAATTACTAGATAGGCTGGCGTATTTCCTTTCTTGGTTTCATGACATATCCTGGTGGTCTTCCAGTAAATCCTCCCTTTGAGTTTAAGCTAATTTAAATAGAAGCTGTTATTTATAATCAAAACAGACTTGATCAAGATCATATGTAACTGCTCTACCTCCTCTTAAACCAACTTTTTTTTTATGGTTTCACACAATAGATAACTGGAAAATCATCCAAACATGAGATGATAAAATGTTTGATGGCAATTTAACACATGTATTAGTAAAATAAAATTTCAGCTCCAAAGTAGCTCCGGTCTTAGAACAGGAACACTTTTCCTCTGGCTAGCTGCCAGTGGGTGTCTGAGAAATCATGGCAAACTGGAGTGATGCCGCAGGATTTCCAAAGACACTGAAAGAAAAAAACCCTCATTGGGCTTTATAAATCAACAAAATATATGTAGATTAAATAATCTTTTGTATAAATATAGCACAAGTAGAAAGAGTCTAAAACTCTAAAAAGCCATAAAAAGTTTCTAGGTAAAGGAAAGCGGGTTCTGGATTATTCTCCCACAAGGTAAAGGTTAAACTCCTGACTGGATGGTAACTTAAGGACTGTGTTAATGAGAACATATTTGGCAATGATTATGCAACTCCAAGAGAGGCGACAGAAAGATTCAAACATTGAACTCATTTGTATTGTAAATATTTCTTGTTTTCTGTATAGCAAACATTTTCTTACATACGCACTATGTATAAGACACTACACTAGACAGTTAAGGAAAGGAAGATAAATAAGGTACAGACTCTATCCACAGGGAATGTGATGGTAGAAAACTGTTAGGTAAACAGCTAACATGGTCCTGGAAATACGTTAAGTCAACAAAATTAGCCAGGTGTGGTGGCACGTGCCTGTAATCCCAACTACTTGGGAGGCTGAAGCAGGAGAATCGCTTGAACCCAGGAGGTGGAGATTGCAGTGAGCTGAGGTCCCACCACTGCCCTCCAGACTGGGCAACAGAGTGAGACTGTCTAAGGAAAAAAAAAGGGAAATAATGAGGAAGACTTGAGCTAAAATTTTCTCGCTTCAATTCATGGCTATTTCCAGTTACTCACACTACCTAGAATTGAAGATGACAATGTCTAAATCTTTAGTCCTCAAAATGTAATTGCAAGGCTATCCATTCGTTATAGTTTCTCTTCAAAGAATCAGTATGTCAGTATGTTCAGTTCTCTTATTCTTTAAATCTCTATTTTAAACTTCTTGTCATTCCAGTAAACAACCTTCTCCACCGGTTCATCAGCACTTCACATCCCCAGCTCCATCCTGACTCATCTCCAGTAACCTCTGGCTACCAGCTCTGACACACCCATAACCGTCCTTTCTGCCAAAACACCCACCCTGCCACTCCAGCTCAGACCCCTGCTCTTTTTAAAATAGCCAGTCGGGATTAGTCTAGTTTGTGTGGTCTAACCGTAACTAATAGGGGATGACACAGCAGTAAGGATGCCCCGTCAGGCATAAGTACCCCCTCCCCTCTTGTCCAAGCATGTGGTGGCCATCACTGCTCTGTCCGTGCACCCCACACCCTTCTATAGAAGTAAACTGCCTTGTTGAGAAGACACATTTTTGAGTACTATTTCTTTTGCGGTATCAAAATTTTACTTGTAACAATTCTCAGGGCTCGTCCGGGATCCACCCTTCTCCTCTGGGGTCTCAGACCCTCTCTCATGAGGAAAGCCGCATCCTGTGGCTTCATTTTACAGCAGCCTCATGGGTAAGGGGTCCAGACCTACCCGATGTGGTATGATGAAGCCCAGCCTCTCAGCAACATGGAAATAAAAAAGGCCTAAAAATACCACAGCAACTAAGCAACTCTATGCAAAGACCAAGAAAGAGATGACCATGGGATCTGGTAAAGTATTTCCTTGGTGGTCGGGACCCAGGTAAGAAAAGCTGTGCGAGGCGGGGCGGGGGGGCCGGGGCGTGCAGTAAACTATTCCTTGGTCAGAATATACCAAGGCAAGAAAAGCCGTGGGGGTGGGGGTGAAGTATTCCTTGGTCGGGGTGGCTTGGAGGTTAAACAGAGGTAAGACATCTCCATTGGAGGGGGGGATTGAACCTCGCACAAACCTCCAATAGTGGGGAGGGGGCAGAAATTTTCGGTAAAGAAAATTGAGCCTCGCCCCAAAAGGCAAGACATTTCCGGTAAGGGAAATTGAGCCTTACTGACCCCCCAAAAAGGAAGAACTAGAGATACAGCAATGAAAAAAATAATACTCAGAACTTCCCTTTCCCCTCTTTTGTGGGAAGAAAGGAGTATGATCCGTAAACACCCTCCCTCCCCCCACCAAAACATTCCTACAGCGGATCAAACTCACCTAAGACCCCCGGTGGGACAATAGCAACGCAGCCCACCGAGAAAACATGCAGGAAAATATGCTGGTCTAGTGTCACTAACAATCGGCCAAATATTAACAAGAAAGTACCAAAAAAAAAATAGAGAACTAGAAAAATAAACTTGTAAAAAAGCTTCTAAAAGAGAGAGAGTACAAGAGGGCGTCAAAGTGTTAAGAGGTAAACGGGTGGGGTCCTCGCAGTCCACCTGGAGAATTCAACCCTGCAGGGGCTGGGCTGTGCCAGTGGCCCTGGGAATCTTTCCCGCCCCCCTCCTCCTTCCGACCCCTCCCCTGCCGCCCCTCCTCCTCCTCCTCCTCTTCGGAGGGCTGGGGTCGACAGGGGATCCTCCCCCCAGATGGTAACGGCAGGGTAAGTGGCTCAGAGGGCCTGGTCATCAGCCCCCTCCGGGTGGCAGCAGCGGGTGCACCCCCTGAATGTTATAGCCCCAAGCCAGCAGCACATGCCAAATCTCAGGAGAGGGAGCCCAGGCGCTGCCCATTGGGGGCCCAAGTCTTTCTAATCGAGGCCCAGCCTGTGGACCGTGTGAAGCAGTTAGCACCCACAGCGCGCCAGCCCAGAGCTTTCAGAGATCGGATTGCTTGTGATTGCAGCCCAAATCTGGTGGTAAACTCCACGAAAGGCTAAATACCAGCACGAGACCGACAGTCAACAAGTATGGTAAGGGAAAGTTAAAAAGAAGTTGAGAGAGAGAGAGGGAAGTTAAAAAAAGAAATCCTAGAGGAGAGACAGAGACTAACAGAGGGAACAGAGGAAGTCAGAGAGAGAAAGAAAGAGATAGTAGTAAAGAGAAAGCAATGTGTCCTATTCTTTTAAAAGCCAGGGTAAATTAAAAACCTACAATTGAAGGTCTTCTCCATGATGGGATTCTTAAATCCTGTTGTTTTCAAACCTTATATTATTACAATCACCAGTAGTTTACAGTAATAGGTTTAAAAGATGCCTTCTGGGCTTGTCCATTGGCAGAAGACAGCCGGGACCTATCTGCCTGTGCGTGAGAAGACCCTCCTCACTCCAGTTGAAAAGAGCAATACCAATGGACGGTTTTATCCCAAGGGTTTGCGAAATCTCAGTCTATGGATAGACCCTTAAGCCCTAAAAATAAAGCCCTTATAAAAAAAGCTCATACAAGACAGGCTAAACCCTCTCATTTGGCAATGACCAGAAATCCAACAGTGGAAAGGTTACCTCCTTAAGCAGCCATTCCATCTTTCTGTCAGTGTTAACAAGAGAATGGCCTTAGAAATACTCGCCCAAAGGCACAGAGGCTGGTAGCCTTCCTATCAAAAATCCTTAATGCAGTAACCTATGGATGGCCCAAATGCATTACGGGACAACACTTACTTATAAAGTTTGCTCAAAGTTAACAGCGTAACATGTATTACCCTAACTTCTAATCTTGTGGCCTTAAACAGTCTACTCCAGGGACATGAAAGAAGTTTGCTTTGGAAAAGGAGGGTTATCATCATTGACAAAAAGAAAAAGGAGAATTTATGTTAAAAAAAAAATCTCATATGGTAAATTCTTTACTTGAAATAAAATAACTGGCTGTTTAAAAGGATGTTTACAGGTCAAAAAGTTGATTATCTGTGAAAGTTGTGAAAAATGTTATAGAAGGGAATTTATGCAAGAAATGTTGTATAATTTAAAAGTAATTAGGCCTCCTGAATGTAAAATTATTGAAGAAACAGTTTTTGTGCAAGGTTTGTAAAGAAAACAAAAATATACTTTTTGCAAAAGGATTATAAGGAGGCCTAAGAATGTGATTTCTACCTTCATTAAAAAAAATAAAAAATAAAAATATTTTGTTTTGTTTTGAGGGTTAAAGCAAATTTTAAAATGTTAATTATAAAGGAAATTCTGTGTATATCATAAACATATTGGCTAATGTTAAAGGGGTATCCAGTTTTTCTGTGAACTGGACATTAAAAGGTTTGTTTCTGTTTTTAAAAAATAAGGCACTAACCTGCTTTTTACAAAAATTTTAACAGAGTTAAAAAGAATCTATAAAAAATCTTACCTTATGGTCAGAAAATATGTCTACAAGGTGTCATGAAAATTGAGTTTAACATTAATAGCACACTAATATAAAGATGAAACTTCGCTTATCTGGTATAAAATCACACGGGAAGCACTATCAAATATAAAATGGTATTTGGCTTTCTTTGGTTTAAAAACTAACAAAAATAGGTGCTAAAGAGAATTCAGAAGGAAAATGGATATTGCCAGACCAGAGGGAAATGTTATTCAAACCCCTTATGAGAGGAATCTGCTTCCAACTGTATCTAGGGACCCATTGGGGGCCCCAAACCATGTGTGACACAGTCCTCAGAGTTAATGGGTACACAAGAATTTGTACCCTGGCCAAATGGGTGACAGACAGTTGCTTGATATGTAAGAAAACTAATAAACGGCCGGGCACGGTGGCTCACGCCTGTAATCCCAGCACTTTGGGAGGCTGAGGTGGGTGGATCACAAGGTCAAGAGATTGAGACCATCCTGGTCAACATGGTGAAACCCTGTCTCTACTAAAAATACAAAAATTAGCTGGGCATGGTGGCGCGTGCCTGTAATCCCAGCTACTCAGAAGGCTAAGGTAGAAGAATTGCCTGAACCCAGGAGGCGGAGGTTGCGGTGAGCCGAGATCGTGCCATTGCACTCCAGCCTGGGTAACAAGAGCAAAACTCCTTCTCAAAAAAAAAAAAAAAAAAAAGAAAAGAAAACTAATAAACTATTTAAAAAAAATTACCTCTCAGGGGAAGGAATTCAGGCTTAAGGCCATTCCAAAGTATCCAGATTAATTACACAAAGATGCCTCCAATTGGTCTAAAGTATTTATTGATTTCAGAAAACAGGACTCATTTTACTGCAAATGTCATTGGGAAATTAGCCCAGGTACTGGATATAACATGGAAAGATTGTACTCCCTGGCACCCACCTTTATTAGGGAAAGTAGGAAGGCCTATTACCCTGTTAAGGGTCTAAACTGCTCCCCAAAGGACATTCGACTACGAATCTCCCTACATTTGAAACAAAAAAACAGTTTATATACTTGGTTTATCTTCCACTTTCCCTTCCCTCAAAACTAAAGGTCTTTTAGCACAGGTGCCACCCTGAAGTTTCTGGTATCAGCACCAGCCTGAAGACCACCCTACCTTGTGCCGCTAGCCACCAAGACTGCCGTTCGTACAGCAGAAAAGAGATGAATATATCACACCTGAGTCAAGAAAGCGCCGTCACAGTTAGAATCATGGGCTATTGTTCTAGAATCAGACCCTACCAAGTTAAAGCTAAGAAAAGCTTAGTCCATCTACCATTTTTTTTTTCCTTTTCTTCCCTTTAACTTCTCCCCATCTTGTTATTAATGTGTTAGATCTAACTCACCTCAAGTTGTCACTTTGATGTCTGTTTAGTTATGCCTTGCAGAGATTTGCATAACCAGGGACAGCTTGCTGCTTCAGAAGGATGTTTCTGTCCCTCTTAGACTTCCTCAGATTAGGAAAACATAATGAATTCCTCTAAGGATATTAGTAATCCAAGGAATAGTAGCTATATTAATTGGTAGAAATCAGACTTTTGTTCCTCTAAAACAGAATCTCTGTGTTCTGCTTACTCTAATGTCACATGGAACACTAAAGGTTTAAGACAGACTGCTTCCACAGGTCTTTGTCAGTCCTTAAAACTATATATCCACTTCACCAGAGGAATTGCTCCTTCTAGCTGTCAGTATAATCAGTGCAATCCTATACAGCTTACTATTGTTGTTTCAACATCTGAAAACTCTTCCCCTTATTAAGTTTTATTTATGGCATAGGAGCCGACATTTCAGAAAAAGGATCTAAGGAAATTTTTGAAATGTGCTTTGTTGCTCCTTCAACCTCTTTATCAATCACTCCTCCTAGACACAATGACAAAACCAAAGTCTCAATGATAAAAGTAAAGGACCTAAGGCAAACCATAGCCATTAAAACAGGATATAAGGATGCAAATGCTGGGCAGAATGGATTAAATATTCCGTTTGCACCTTAAATAAATGTAACTATTATACTTGTGTGCACAGTAGGCCAGAGGCCCAGACTGTCCTCTTTTCACTTAAGTGGTCTAGTCAAGCGGACATGGAGTGCATGATAAGCTCTTTTTCAATATTCCAAGGCCTGGAATAACGAACTGAGCCAAGTTCTTTCGTTGCTATTTCCTGAGGCTCAACACCCTGAGGTCAGCCCCCTACGGCCATACAGCCTCCATCTCCCAAGGCAAAGTTCGACTCCTGTCCTCTCAAAACAGGGGGAGAACTTAGTGTTGCTTGGAAACTTAACAGGATGCAGTGAAGTCAGGCACTTCCAAGAGGTGGCTTATGAGTCCCCCTTACTCAACCCCAAGCAGATGTTTGGTGGTATTGTGAGGAACCCTTACTGGACACTGCCAAATAACTGGAGCAACACTTGTGCTCTAGTCCAATTGGCTTTTTACCCTGGCATTTCATCAACCAAAAAAAGAGATATCATG